ATATTTCACAATAAATTGGTTGAGATAGGATTCAAAATCAGGACTTCTAATATAAAATTATAAATATGCAAGTTCTAACAAGTTGAGATACAAAAAATACTTAAAAATAAAATGAATAACCAGTTATATAACCTAAAAATATTATCTATTGTAAACAAAAAAAAACTGCTTTCGGCGAATCCAGCAAGCGCGGTTGCCGGGCTCGCTGGGTGCTGGGTCCGATTGATAACCTGACGCATCATATTTTGCATATCTACAGTTTAGGGAGTTATGTCACAAGTAACTAGTACCAAAGGTACCTAATAACATTTAAAAAGTTAATATTTTTATGTTTTCAAGAATTTGAGGGAAAATTTGACAGTTCAACCTGCTGAACAAGTTCTTGAGGTGCACTTTTAGCTTCCGCCGGTTGTTCGGTGTCTCTCATTTCAAGACATGTGAAATTTAAGGTTCCATAATGTCTGGACAACATCCTTGCTATTGGCCGGTATCCATCCCTGCCAGTTAGGTTATAGTAACCTGATGTCAGCTCACAAGCATGACTTTCATCCTTGTACCACCAGTGGATTCCAGAAACCTGTTTGTGCAGAAAAATCGGAGATTTGTGAAACACAGCACAAAATAAGACCAGAAGTCCGTCCATAACTGATACCGATCCGTAAAAGGTTACCACAACATTAATAGAGACAGTTACTTGTAGTACTTTACTATGATGATAGTCATGGCTCTCATTAAATTTTATATTCTGGAATATCATAAGTACTTTCACGTCCATTCATATTAATCTTTTGCTAATAACACGTACCTTAGCAGCGAGCTTGACTTTGCATCCCAAGAAGACTTTGTTGGCTTCCTCTACTATCTGATCCCCATGGTCTAGTAGCTTGTTAGAGTACCATGTTAAGAAAAACTTCCCCTTTTCTGTCTGGTAAGTCCCATTTGATCCGAAAAATCCTGTTTTCTCAGGGGTGTCATTATATGTTCCTGCATCATCTGGGAGGTTCCATTCTGGGTGCCCTGCCTTGGTCGCAGCCTCCTTGAAATGTTGTCTCAAATACTTATCATAGCACTGCAATCATAATATCAATTTTCCTGTTAGAATGGGGCTCGGTTGATTTATTTGAAAGGAGGGGGTAACATACTAGTCTTTATCTCACCTGAAATTCTCCAATGCCAGGGAACTTCCATCCTTGAGTCTCAGGATATGATGGATATCTGAGCTCTCCTGCAGGGCCTAGTCCTACCTCAATGTCTACAATGGTTCCAGCTTCCAAAATATCTGACATGTTTTCTCTAAAGCTCTTCATGTAATCACTGTACATCTATACATAAGAATTTGTATATGTCAAAAACATATAAAGCAGAAGAGTTCATATTACTAACAAAATACGAGTCATAACAAGTCATACCTGTACAGCAGTTCGACCTCCAAAGAAAGGCAAGTTATCCACACCAAGTGAGAGGTACTCTTTGTTCCTAGTACCCGATCGGTTAGTGTAGAAAATATCGGGATCTTTTTCTCCAACAGCAAGTACCCAATCTGGGATAGGGATGTACACAGCATCTCCTACATTGCCACCACACTGGTGGAATGACATTATAGCCTGTATTTTCAATCCACATTTTTGAACGAGTTGGAACAATTTCTTGTAGGAAGACCAATCATACTGTTTGGGACCTTTGGCCTCTATAATTCCCCACCAGACATCTACCATTACACCATCAACTCCAACAGCTTTTAGCTCTTTGAGCT